GTAAGGAAGGGATGATTTGGTTTTGATTTGAATAAGACAGACTGCACAGGGGCAGCATCCACAAAACACTAGATATAGTTTTTCCTTGGTCTGGGGGCCACATCTTCAGGCCATGGCTCTGTAGTAAGGTTGGAGATGGGAGAAAAAAGTGCATTAGAACTTGGACAACAATGACAACTCATTTTTATGTGATGCTGTCTCCATGCCAGGCTCAGCCTTTTATGCTGATTCTTTCTTTTAACCTCCTCCCCCTCCCCCGAGAACTCCGTAAGATAAACATTATCACTCTCTTCATTAACATGGATGAGGAGACAGAATCAGATAGGACAAAAAACTGCTAGTCATTCAGCTAGTAGGACCCCCACAGCATCTCATTCTAGCGTGCTTAACTGCAGCAATACATTTCGCTTCCCAGCTTGCTTCCCTTGATGTACCTGAAAAGTGGATATGATTTTTCTACCCATGCTGGCATCCCTGGTGGAAACTGGCCAAATGATACCGCACAGATCTTAGAAGACTTGGTTGAAAATGTCCTGGGTTGTCACTCACTTAGTATAGAACATTACACAGTGAGTATAGTGAGATTGGAGACTTCAATCGCCAGAGTTGCCTCCAAATGCAACGAAACCTAACTGCAGACTTCTGGCTTCCCATTAGGACACTGAGATCTGACAGCAAGGCTCCCTTGGCAAGTGAGAGGGAAGCTGGATGATTATGGAGAGTAGGTGGCCTTGAAACTCACAGATGTCCATTTTATTTCCCTTTCAATTCCAGGGTTTCCCTCTTCCTATGTCTGGATACAGGATACTAGGAATTGCCAATCAAGGCTCCCAGCAATGGAAACTTTTAGGAAAAATAGCACTTACACACCCAGACATCAGGCAAGGCAGCTCATTCTGGAGGGCCAGTGAGATCCCCCCAGCTAAAGTTGCCAGCACATCTCAGTAAAAACATCACTTGCAGACCCAAACTTCAGGAAGAAAACAGACTAGCAAGACTTTGATCCTTCAGCTGGGTTGGAAAACAGGTAAAATTGTTTTGCACTTTTTGATAACTATGAGAAGAAAGGGAATGCTTGTTTCCCTCCTGCTTTGTCTCAGCGACCTCCTTACTCCCTCAATCAAGCTATCTGGAAGCCCAAGCTCTTAAAACTTGAGTGCTTTTATTTCTCAAGACCAAAAGAAACACGGCAGGCATATGAAAACGTTCATCAAAACCCAGAGTGAAGTTTCTCAGCCCTAGTGGGACATCAAAACCACATGTACTTCTGGTCATGATGAACTAGCCAGGCAGAAGCTAAAAAAACAATGCTTTCCAGGCACTGGTCAACATGCAGGACAGGACCAGTGAGGGAGAAGAATGCTATAACTTCCTTGCCCCAACAGACAGTTTCTGGGGCTCAGCTCTGAGAAGGAAAACTCAACTGAGCTTGGGATTTCAATGAGCAGAGGAGGCAGAGGCAGGACTAAGGGCAGCTGACACAGTCAGAATTTGCAAAGAGCAGAGAACTACAAGAAACAAAGCGTGCTGGGCCTTCTCAAGTCTTTAGCTAAATACTGACCTGCACCTGTGGAAGAAACAATGGACCAAAACCAGGAAAAAACTACCAGAAGGTGTTAGGTCAGACAACTGTCTGGACAACTGGAAAATCTTTCCATCCTGGGCCTAAGTACAAAGATGTTGTTATACCTGAGACCTTATACTGAATCCTCAGAAGGATTACATCTTAATAGTGGGGCTAAATTAGCCCTAGAACACAGATTCTCTGGATATTTTAGGCCAGATAATTCTTTGTTGGAAAGAAAGGAGTTTCCTAATGCACTATAGGATATTAGCAGTGTCTCTTGCTTTTGCCCACTAGACACCAAGATACACTCACCTCCCACCACCAAATTTTCACAACCAAAAACTGTTTGAAGATTACCAGTTATGCCTGGAGTAAGGAGCAAAATCACCCTCCACGAAGAACCATTTCTTTCCCCTGAAGCCTACTTTGGACGTATTTCTACAAATCTCAGAATAAAGTCTCAGCAGAACCAACCTGTGTTCAAGTAGCTTAACCTCATGCCAGAACAAAGTTCAGTACTCTTCAAAAGAATACAACAAAACCAACACTCAACAATGCAAAATTCATTGTCTCTAAAAGTCAATTTTAAACTAACTCAAAATGCAAAAAGCAAGAAAATACAAACCATAATCAAGAAGAAAAAAATCAATAGAAACATAGAGTAATAATATGCATAATGATGAAATCAGTAGACAAAGGCTTTAAAACCATTACTATGAATTTGCCCTCTACTCATGCTCAAGAAGGTAGAAAAAGACATGAACAGAAGGGAGTCCGAAATGGAAGATGACAGTGGTTTTTACTTAGTTGTTGTTTACTGTCAATGCCTCAACACTGTTCTGGGTCCTCAGTCACAGTGGCTTGGGTCAGGCCATGGGCAAATGTAGTTTTTTAAAGTTCATCATTATATTTAGTTGCACACTGGCTAAAACCTGTTATGGCCCTACAAATAATGAGTAGAAATGAGAGTTGCAAATGATGACTAAGGCTTTAAAAAATTGTAATTTCCAAATAGAAAAACTTTCCCCAGCTCTCCTCATAATTAAGTGCATTGGACATTCACCTATCAGATGATAGATGGGCAAGATCATCAGAAAGGTCCTAGCAATGAATTAAGAAGGGACTTCATCCATACTAAAATAAAAGCAGAAAGATTTGCAGGATCTTCACCCTCATCTGCTTCCTGTCCAGGTTATCTTTCGGCCCAACATGTTTGGATCCTACCAAATCCAATGTAAGAAAGAGGATGGTTGTAGCTGGACCATGGCTGAAGTTATATCTTACTGCAGGTGATTTTTCCAAACAGTAGCACAGCTCAAGAGTAAGGCTATGGTTCTAGAAAACTCCCAGTCTGCAGATCTTGCGCTTAACTCAAGCAGATTTTCTGGTTCTCACAGAAAGTGCTTGAAATCCATAAGATTTTCACAGAAATAATATCTCACGAACTCATTGTTCTAAAAAAGCAACCAGTCTTTTATTTTTTAATCCAGCACCTTTGTGTATTGAAAGTTTAACTCAATGATCTTACTTATTTTCACCCCATCGGGCACTATATGGCCAAAGCCTGGAGCAGGTTAATGGGTGGCGTCTGAGCTGATGGATGGCAGAACCCAAAGGCTGTTAATTGGGTTCACTCATCTGTTCAGCTTGGGAAATTGAGCAAGAAGGTTTGCTTTTTCCTAGTTTTCTCAGTCTAAGTGGTGCTGACATGCCCCAATGAGAATAATAGAAAGAATACTGTAATTCAGTGAATGTGGAATATTTAATTTCTGAAAATGTTTGGTACTATAAGTTGAACAAAGTTCAACAGTCAGAGGTGCAAGAGACTCTGAACCCATCTGTTAGTTTTTAAACTTGGCCTGGCCTTTAACCCGGGAAGCAATGGACCACTTACAAGAACTGCACAGACATCAGACTGATTGCCAGCAGAGGGGCCTGGGACTCATTTTAACACTGTTCCCTTAACTACTGGTTATATTGGAAGTGGAGAGTTAAGTCAACGATTGGTTATATTGGAGGTGGAGAGTTAAGCCACTGGAAAACAATCTAACTGTGACTATTCGTATAGTTGCAGGTTTTACAACTTTCTGTAAGGTGCACTTTTTTCTCATTGTTATCCTTCATGCGTACATAGTAATGAAGGAATCAATGAAATTTCTTGTGTGAACAAACAGGAATATAAGAGTGACTGCTATGTAGAGTTTAAAACGGAACCATGAACACTATTGTAAAACGCATGATGATATAATTCAAGTTTGTTCCTCTCTGCAGGTCTAGAAAATAACTTCACTGAAAATTATACAATGATAAAATTCTGTCCCCATCTGATTAATTACTTGTGAATAATAACATCTCTGCTTTCTTTCAATTATATTCTAATTGCACACCTTTTGCTCTGGTTGATTGGGCAATGAAGTAATGAACAACTATTACTGAATTTAATTAACATCATTATTTCTGTGGCCTTTACATCTCTGTTGTGAACATGAAAATTCACATGCCCAGGGCTGGAGCTGAAAGAAAGCAGCCTTGAATCCTGCTAAACCTGTTCTTCTACCGTGTGCTACCTTCCTTCTGCCAAGTACAGGGAACAAAAGATCTGAGTTTTTGCCAGCATTCATGGGAAGAGTTTCCTAATAACAGCATCAATATTCAGAAAGGTTACCTTTTCAGAAAACATTGCCAATCTGTTTGTTAGGTTTATCAAAAGAAATGGCCAAGTGAGGTATCTGGGAGTCAATTACAATGTCGTTCATAATTTATTCCATGTACAATAAAGAGCTGATCAGATTTCGTGTGTGTTTACTTTCTGAAAAGATAACCTCTTCTGTCTGATACCAGTTGCAAAATATAAATATGCTTCAGAATAACATGTTTTACTTCACTTTGACATTTGAAATTTCCAAAGTTCTCCTTTTTTCCACAAACTTGCCTGCACTTAAAAATTAGAGTTTTTCCTCAAAACAAAATAAAACACACAAAAAACACTCTTGAATTACTTTGTTTTAACCTGCCCAGGAAAATCCTTATACATTCTGCACAACACATAAACAAATAGGAATTTGTTTTTAAGGAGATTATGAAAACTTTAAAGAACTAAGACTATTTAACCCAGAGCACAGAAATGTCCTGCATGTTTCTAAATGGGACTACCAATAAACCACCACCACAAAAATCTTTAGAGCCCTATGGAATGTTCATACATACAGATGCTTGTCATGTGTAACTAACACTCAATAGAGTGTCCCCCCGCTGTCATTATTACAAAAACCGAAATAAATTAAGGGACCAAGAAAACTTTAAGAAAAACTACAAACAGATGTGGTTAATTTTTTAGACCAGATAGACACCCAGGCTGTCCGTGGGACACACAGCATTCCATTTCTCCCAGAACGAAGGGTGCACAGCATCTCCCCACCCAGCTCGGCCGTACCTCATATCTGCTGGCTGGTTGCTCAGCTGTCTTGAGTCCTTGACACATATGGATGATACAAACTTTAGCTCTTCTCTGCGAGGGAAACCAGTTACTCTTCACGAAATCCATGACCATCACATGGTTTTTCAACTCTGTGCTAAATGTCTTTATCTGAAAAGTCCGGTGAGCAGCTGTTCCTGTGTGGCTTGCGGTGAGCCCCTTCTGAGTTTTTGCAAGCATTCCAGAGTGCTGCATGATACTCGGAATCTTGTGACTTCAGCAAGTGAGCCTGGCAAACACAATTTTCTTTGTTTTACCCAGGTATTGAGTGCAGCAGGAGGGGCTTAGGAAGCGCCCCAGCTCAGCCCTGTTCAGTGTCTTCCAACTCTGCAGCCAGCTGTTCCAAAATTCTCCACGCGATGGAGAAGGATGTGGACCAGTAAACTTCATGAGTTATCCTTATGTGCCATTAAAAAAAAAAAAAAACTTCCTTCTTGCTGTGATCTGCCCAACTCCAGACTCACGCCTCAGCTCTTAGGTCACTCTGTCTTCTCTGATTTCAAAGAAACAGTCTTTCTTACCCACTGCATTCAAGTTCTGAATGCGGAATTCGCCTGGTTACCAAAAGGTTCAATATGTTTTTCAGTCTGTAGGCCCTCAAATCCAAATAAATTATTTACAGAGCTCTGTACAAAGGAACCAGGAGGGATAATTGCTGCTTTTTAGAATTCCTACTTTTTCTTGCCAGGACTGAAAGGAACAAGTGCAGACTGCCTACCGGCACAAAGAGCAGCCTCAGCCCTGAAGCAGATAACAGACACATTCAAAGCCAAAAGAGGACTCCCAGCACAGAAGAGATGGCTGCAGTGGGCACTGGAAAAACAATGTAGCACTCAGAGAGAATATTTGTGAGCTTACAGCCAGGCTCTGGTCCTGGGTGGTTCCCTCCCCACACTGAGCCTCAGTTTCCCACAGGAAGAATATTGAAATGAAAATGCTCTACCTGGCTTTCACCAGGTTAGTGTTAAGATCTGGTGGGCAAGGGGGCTGGGGATTTAGCTCAGCGGCATAAGCGCCTGCCTTGCAAGCAGGCAGTCTTGAGTTCTATCCCTGGTACCGATAAAAAAGAAAAAGATCTGGTGGGCAAAACAATGAGAAAAGAGCACTGTGCAATAGAATCATAGTGGGCTCCTTCTCAAGGTACAAGTGCACATTTTCTGTCCAGATAGTTTTGCACAATTCTTGCTTGCTCCACTCACATAATATGGTGGAGATGTACATGCTACAAATTACTGGAGTGCAAATCTCAAACCATTTAGAAACACAGACCCCTGAAAAACTCACTTTTTTGTTTCGTGTTTTGGTGCTGTTTCTATTCATGTAGTTTTTTAGAGATGATAACGACAAATATAGGCCAAGGTTGTCCATCAGGAGGAGGCAGATGAAAAGCACCCTGACTGTCTGAGCCCAGGCACATGGCTCTTCTCCACAGGTGATTTTCTCTTGGCATTTGGCAAGGATGCCCTCCTGGAAGAATAAATTGACCTGTGCCACATAGCCAGGGAGGAGGCTGAAGGAAGGGGTTTCTCAGAAGCAGAGCTCCAGTGCCTGGCCCAACACCTCACTCTTTCCTGCTGTGGGAAAGATTTTTGCAAATCACACTCAGCAGGGCTAGGATTTGAATGGCAGAATGCTAAACTTCTGCCTGTGGGGCAATGGAAATGTTTAAACTGAAAACTAAAACACAGGAGGAGATGGAAGACTTCAGAGATCATTTAGGCCAATGTTCTCATCTAACGCAAAGACAGCAGACCCATAGAGATTAAACACCGACTCTATATCAGAGTTTTATTCATTGTTCCTTAAACAGAACACTGCTCAGTGCAGCATGTGGTTCTCGAAGGAAGTCAGTGAGAATGTCAGGACCCAAACCATGGCAGCCAAGACCCAGCGGTGGCATGTTTGATTCAAACATCACAGTCATGCTGGAAACTGCCCGTGTGAAGGACAGTGCACTATGGAGTGCCATTTTAGATTTGGAAATGGCACAGTTAAAGGCAGCCAGGGAAGACACATGGGGAGTAAAGATATTAAAATTAAATGATGACCTCAAAGAACGAGGGAGTCTGTTCTCCTTGTGGACTCTGTGAAGGCCAATTCCTGTGCCAACAAAGTCTTTTTTGAACCAGCTCCTACTGGTGCTTATCTGTTCCTGCCCAGCAGATCCTGCAAGTCTGGTACCAAGTAGTCCTGTCTTTGCTTCTAGCACCACAGCACAGTAAAGGACTCTGAGCCCCGTGGAGACTGCCAGGACTACACACCCAGCTGCTCCGAGACTACCAAGGTTTGAAAATCACTTGTCATGGAGACTCAGGGTGTCATCAAGGCTGTGTGTGGCTTTTCCCACTTGCTTGACTGTAGGCAGTGACTGAGCTTTAATTGGACTGTATGGACTGAACAAAAGCCTTGGCATTGTCAGATTCAACCCCACATTATACAGAGGACAAATAGGAACCGGGAGGGAGGGAGGCTGGGATGAGAGATCAGAGGGCTAGAAAGAGAATCATAGGGACATTGGAGGTTGAGATTACATCTTGGCCTCAAGACAAAGTAGCGTGTTGTTGTGGACAAGATCTTCCTCCCCCAATTCCAGTTTTAGTTCTCTTTATCCACAAAGCCCTGACTATTCTGATACCTCTAAATCTTAGACAGTATTCATTCAGACCATATACGACAACACAGCAGCTGCATCCACCTGGGCAGGCTTTCCTCAGGAAAGCTAATATCTTTTCATCTGTTTGCATCCTTCATCTGACCTTGGAACCATTGTTCCTTGAGCCTAGCAGGTCCACAGACTCCATGGTTCAGTCGTTGTAAATCTTAAAGTGAGCCTTTGAATCAGAACATCTGGTTTCCCCTGATACTCATAGTGTTGGCTCTATACCCTTGGATGAACTACAAAGCTTTTCCCTGCCTCAGTTTACCAGGCTGTTTAATAGGATAATAATAAGCCTGCTTTGATGGGCTGCCTTAAAGACTGAAGGAGTTGGCACCAGTAAAGAGCTTGGCACTGGATCTGTACTCCATTGACAAAATTGGTCAGTATCTCTTTACAAAAAGTAAACATCCAGACACATTATTTTAATACTTAAGATGGAAAACTGCTCTAAAGAGAAACAGGACTCCCTCTGCCACATAGTGACACCCAGAACGGGGGTAGAGGTCAACCTTGATTTTCTTTCATGGGAAATAAGGGTAGCAGCCCCCCAGAACTGTCTTAGATAGCACCAGCTGCTATAATAAAATACTGCGTCCTTGGTGGCATTGTTTTAGGTAAGTATTGGATATGAAACTGGTTTTTTTAAGTAATATATTACAAACCATTCATATGCTAATTTTAATGACAATATTTAAAAAACAGCAGGAGAAAGCACAAGTGACAAACACAAACCGAGCTAGTTCTCCTCAAAGGACAGAAAATCAGCCCCAGTTATAGTTAAAAACAAGTGTCAGTGTCAGACAGTGTGACACCACTGCAGGCACCCACACTGCTCAAGGACATGCAATGCTTTTTGATTTGCTCAGAGCTCTGTCCTTGGAACCCTTCCCCCACTTCCACCCTAAACCCACCCATATAGGCTTCATGTAAACTGTGCCATCTCACAAAACCTGCCTACCTCACTCGCTGGCCCGAGAGTGGACATCTGACATAAATAGGGCCAATCAGATATCCTCATTATGATTTGAATGTCTGTGTGGCCCCAAAATTCATATAATGATGCCCTACTCCCACAGTGTGGTAATACTGGGAGATGGGACCTTTGAGAAATAATTCGAGTTAAATTAGACCATCAGGATAAAGCCCTTCTGATTGGATGAATGCCCTTGAGAGAAGAGAAGCGGGAACCTGTCTCCTCTTACCACCTCATAGGGGAGCACAATAGAAAAGTCCATATGAGAACAGAGTGAGAGGTGCCTGTCTGCAAACCAGGCAGACATTGCCTGCGACCCAGTCATACTGGCACCCTGATCTCAGACTTCCAGCCTCCAAAACTATGAGATAATACTCACCAAATATTTAAGCCACCAAGGATGCAGTATTTTATTATAGCAACTGGCACTATCTAAGACAGTTCTGAAGAATTTTAACCCTGAGTTCTAGTTGATTGGCTTAGGAGTAGTCACCATCTCATGGAGAGTCAGTCATGTCTAGCCTGGAGAGCCTTGGTCCTGGGATCACACAGTGAGGGTGGTCAGCCTGCAGTGCATTAGAATGTTTCAGGCACTATTGGTGCAGGTTGCAGCTGACCCAGTGAGGCAGAGGCCCTAGATGGGAGCATCTGGATGGTTCTAGAGCTCTGGTTCCTGCCCAGCCTCATTTTGCCTGTAGATTCAATGAGAGACTCCAATATCTTCATAATACTTTTCCTTGAAAGGGAAGGCAATTATACAACGGTTTAGGTTACTTGCAATCAACAGAATTTAGTTGAACTTTGAAAATTCATTCTTTTTTTAAATGAATGCAAAGTGGGTTTTTAGTTGTTATTGTTTGTTTGTTTTGTGTTTTGTTTGCTTTTGTTTTTGCCAGGCTCTATGCCAAGCACCTAAGATGCTGCAATGGAAGGGACACTTCACTCTCATGAGAGCCCTGTCAACAAGCAGTCTGGCACAATGAAGACTTGTGATGAGGTCTTTAGGGAATGATCACAGAGAAGGGACATTACATAGAGTCCCGGATGTGGTGGTGGGGGAGGGGCTGACTTATGACTAAACTTTTAGCTAGCATTGCATGGACATAAGTCAACTCTAGAACATCACTCTTTACTCTGCCACCTATATCTTATCCTAAAGTATTGGGATGATAAATCTTGTCAGTTTGCCTGGATTAGAGACTGCTGGGGAAGTGACTGGCCTGCATGAGCCCTAACCTCATTAATAGGCTAAGCCACTGAGAAGTACATAGGTGAGCAGGCTCATAGAAAGTAGGGCCCAGATAGAGGACGGATGGCAAAGGGAGCGTGGCCCTGGGGACTACACTGGCCCGTGCCCTCTTCCTCTCTGGGCTCTTCCCCTGCTCCCTGTTCCCCGGATTCTACGAGTTAACCAGCTTTCCTCTATCCCACCTTCCATCACGATATTTCTCATTTGCAGCCACCAAATTAAGAGCTGAACCCTCTTAAATCATGAACTACAATAAATATTTCTCCTTCTAAATTGAGTTGATCAGGGTTTTGACTGACACGACAAAAATCTTACCAGCACAAGCATTCACAGATGAGAATGAGTAAGTGCTGACTGCAGTCATAGTTACTGCTTACTGTTGGAAACCACTTTCTGGGTCCTTGGCTGTTCTATTCTTGAAGCAAATAATTCAGTCAACTGTGAAAGTTAGACCTCTTACCTTGTTAATGTCCTACAGATGACCCTATTTAATTTTCTTAAAGTGGGGTCTGAGGTAACTAGCTGCAACTACATCACTGTCAGTGATTGCAATCTCGGGACACCAAATCAACACCAGGAGCCTTGAAAGTGATTGCTGTTGAATTGTATGGGAAATTAGTCTCTTACTCCCTCCTCATCCCAATACAATACGCAGTGCTGTATAGGCTATGCATTGAAGTATTTAAATAATGAATTATTCACAAAGAAAAGGAACTGTGGGTACCTGATGCCAGAAATTCATGCCTGTGAATTCTTAATCTGCTCTCCAATGGGATTAGCATTTACGACTATGAAAGATGTCCTAATTATGCAGTTTCAGAGTTGATTTTCTGCAGGGCCCATGCAGATCTAAAATGCATTAGGCAACAATAAAAACAGATGACTA